AACTTATGTTATGACCTCCCTTTTTTGTATAACCGTAATATCAAAATATTCTGAGCAACTTTCAGCTTACAATTGGACTGCCTAGGCTGCACAAGGCCTGTCTGCCTTGACAAGCAAGCACTGCACCAGGGTGAAAAAATTCCCCTGAAGTCAAGTGACTTGACTACTGACTGATAAATAAAAGCAAAAGGGCTGTTTTTGCAAAGTCTCTCTCACTGCCGGATGGAGGATAACCCAAATCTTATCATTCTATCATCTCACCTAGCCTTCTATTCAGCTTTTTAAAGAATTACTCAAACTTCCTATTGTTTGGCCTTTAGATGTGGAAATTCATCCAGTTTGCTTGTTTTTTAAACTAATCAAGTTTTCCACCTACTACACCTTAAAGGAATCCACAAAAGTCTTCTGGCTAGTTTTTCAGGATTCTATGTAGTCTTTAGATAAAAAAAACCCACCTATGTCTCCTATGCAGAGATTTGATTAGCAAGGAATTTCCTCTTCTGTCTCCCAGGATGATTAAGGCAAAAAAACAAACCCATTAAATAGTAGATAAGGTGTAAGGGACTTCTATCTTAATTGACCTCCACTATAGTAATATTAATCATAGATTTTGTGCACTATGTACCTGTTTTTTTACCTTGATTGATTTTAGAATGTTGTAATCTCAAGCAAGGGTCAAAACAACCCCAAACTGTTCTTAGGAAAAACAAAGATGATTATAATCTTTCAGCCCAGTTCCTGTGCTGATATCACCCTACTTACTCCTAATGTATAAAAATAAACCTCTGCTGAAGGCAGAGCAGGAAGATTTGCATCCAACTCCGACTCCCGTGTCTTCCTCGCTCCCGCTCTCCAATTTTTAGAATATCGCCTCACCGACGTCGTTCCCACCTTGAGACTCTGCCCGTGATAGCCTCTCTACAACCTGACATTCGGGGCGACAGAACTGATTTTTAAAAATAAAAATGAAGAAAAGATCTGACAGCTTTTAAAGCTATTTTTGGTTTTAATTGAGGGAAACAATCAGACAAATGACAAAAAGCAATTTTGGTAATTGCTGGATTATGCAGACACCTGTGCAGCCGGGGCTGTGAAGGAATTTGTATTAGGTCAACAGACAACTAGAACTGAAATCAGTTGCTGAATCCAAACCAATTTACATGAATCACTTGACCTACAAGCTAAGTAACCCTAATGTCTCAATGCAGCTGCCAGAAATCTCTTTTCCAAATGGAACAACAGATGGTTTTGAACAATACTGCAAGATAGCAATTTCCAGTTGTGCCAAAGTGATTTTCCCTTGCTAAAATTATAAACATAATTGAGAAAATAATTCAGATTTTTCTGAAAGACCATATGCTATTTTCAAAATGAAAACGTAGTTTAATGTCCTGCTGTGTTTTTTTATTTAGCATTGTCTATAGAAATGATTGTTTGCTAGTTTTCATTGATCTAAAACAACACATGGCAGAATCTAACCTTGCCCTGGTTTTAGAAGTATCAATAATCCCACAGTGCTTACAGCAACTTCAAAGTATGTCTGCCCAAGTGAAAATTTCCAATTCATGGCATGCAAGCAGTCCAAAACTATATCCTAGCAGGAGCAGACAAATGGGTCCACGAAGGCTGAAATGCTGGATTTCTGTGTAAATAACTCAAAAACTGCTCAGGCCTTCAAAGAACCCTACAAACACAGGCAATTCAGTATGAGGCTACATGAGATTTAACCTCATCCCAAGTGCCTTGACCTATAATTGGAAATAACCAGTCTCCTACCCAGCGGTAGGGCTGTCTCCCAGTCCTCTCTCCCCTTCCCTTCCAAGCCTTGCTCGCCCCGGCACTGTGTGACGGCGTGTGAGCCCAGGCCCATGCTGGGTCCTCGCACCACGCCTGGTGTGAAGCCGACTTGGAATCAGACTCCATCTTATTCCCACCTGTCATGCTGAGAACTCTTAGCAAGCAGCTCAGGGCTGAGCACAGCCTCACCCCACAACTTCCAGTTCTCTCCTGTCAGCAATAAGGAAAGATCACAACACCCACAACACTGCTGCATGGTAACAAAACTCCTACACACACCGCAACTTGGGTCTGGAGACACATGGCAATCGACTGTAAGAAGACAGAAATGACTGAAGACCAGATTCAAGAATTTTAAAACCAGTTACTCAAACTCCTGTTACATTCCTGCTTGACCCTTTAATGCTCTTCTGCACAGTGCTGGTGGAATGATGCTGTGGTTGCGGATTCTGGTCACATGAATGCTTTCTATGGGATACTACAGCCTGATTATTTCTCAGTCAGCACTGACAGCCCAAGGCATCATGAGTAGGACAGTCTAAGCAACACATCATTCAGGTCCCATCCTACAAAATACTAACCACACAGGCCTCACAAGGGTGCCGCGGATGAATACGTGCCGCGGATGAATACGCTTGGTGAAACATACACAAGGTTGTGAAACCTGTCGGGTGTGTGGCAAGTGCGAAACTAGTGAAGCTGTTATCATCCTCTTCCTTTTGTTTTGGTCACACTATGCCTGTCCTTAATGGTCAAGGTCACTTCAAGGTCCCAAGCTCTTCAGTCTTGCGCTGTGGGTCTCACACTCACCTGTACCTTCCCCACTTTGTCCAAGAACATGGCGCCTCTCTAGCTGGGAGAAGCTCGAACTCACGAATGGACCAGAACAGTCAGTAAAAATCTTCACAGGATTCGGCCCTCCCTGGTGGTGCAGCGGGTTAAAGCACAGCACTGAGAAGCTAAAGCCGCTTCCACATGAGTTCAATTCCCGCCTGCCCCGGAGGTGACCACATGGCACGGCAGACCTCTCCTGGCCTGCCCGCTGCTCCCCTCAGCAGTGTACTACGTCCATCTGCCTGTTCTGCTCCCCGCTCTGTCTCTGGTGAAGCCTCTCGCCGCCCCTGAGCCTCTGGCCTGTACCCCAGTTCTGTATGCACAAATAAATAAATCTTTAAAAAAAAAATCTTCACAGGATTCACCTAACACCCACCCACATTTTCCTTTTTCCATGGAAGAGGTATTTAAAGTATTAAGTTAATGTTAAAAAATTAATATGCTGACTTAATAGAACAGTATTTTAAAAAACTGACTGGACTCATTTCCTGTTACCTCTTGGAGTTTAGCTCCTGTAGTGCTTTCTGCACCACCACCCCAGCACAGAAGTTTTCCTTGAGTCCTACTTCCTAAACTTCCTTTAACCACTGACAGGACTGCCCTCCTCCTTTTTTAAAGTTTTATGTATTTATGCACAGGCATGTAGGTCAGAGGTAGAGGGGGTAAGAGGATATACCAAAGACATAGTGGGGAGCAGAACAGGCTGATCGACTGAAACACACCGCGGAGGGGAGCAGCGGGAGAGACAGGAGCGGTCTGCTGCGCCGTGTGGGTCAGCTCCCTGGCTGGGGATCGAACTCGTGCTGCAGTAGCTGGCATTAGCCTGACAGTGTGGAGACTTTAACGCCTGTGCCACCGGAGAGGCCCTGCCTTCCTTCTCGACAGGGGTCCCTGCTACCTCTGGGCCACTGACCAGGCCTTAGTCTGCTGTCCTCTCTGACAAACTGCACGCTGGCAGCTTTCTCACTTTCTTGCTGTCTAAACCCATACTTCCAGACTTCGGGTCCCCATCTCTCACACCTCTCTGTATACTCCCAACTGCTCTGCTCCCATGATTTCAGTAAGCAATCCAAGCGTCCCATGATTTAACGCCCGAATGCCCCTCCGGTGTGACCAGCAGCCCTTCGCCCCATGGGGCTGCCCCTGCTAGCGGGTGACGGCCATCTCGTTCTGCCTCAATCACAGTGTCCTAAGACAGACCTCCCCCCTCCCGTTCTCAGTAGATCCACTTCTGTTATCTAGTGGCATCTGCACATTTTTTGCCTTTAATTAAAAATTTTTGGTGAGGTAATGTTGGCTTAAAACATCCTACAGGTTTCAGGAATGTCAGTGATGACTCTACATCTGTATGAACATCATGACTGTCACCCAAAGTCTACCTTCCAGGCTCCCCATATACCTGGCCCATTTTACCCCACTATCCCCTCCTCAACTGCCCCCTCTCCCTGATGCTAACTGCCATCGGTCACAACAGTGGAGTCATCTTTCTCTCCTTCGACCAGGTCATAGCAGAAAGCATGGTCGTTCTGAGCCTGGGCCCTTCCTCCCCACTTGCTGCCAGTGTGGCCCTGAGCAAGTCATGTGGCTTCTGTGGCTTCGGTGTGGCCCTTGTCACAGCACTTTCATGAGGAAATGGAGCCAAGGTCCTGGGGATGTGGCACTTGACAAGCTGCAATGACGATGACAATGACAAGGACTCTCAGGGATGTGTCCACAACCTTTTCATCACACCCAGGACTCTTGGCACATTTCAGTGACTGCCCTGATCTATGCTGTCTCAAATTAAAGTACGCCCTGAGGCTGACCTAGGTTGTAAGCGTACAGAAGGGCGTTCATTTCAGCCAAGGCAACCTCCGTCCAGACCCAGAACAATGACGTGCCCTCTCGCAGCAGACTAAGAATGTAATGGGATTTCAGGAGCTGACCTTATTTGAATCCAATTTCAAGGAACGCTCCATCAGCCATATGGTCTGAAATTAAAACCACTCTGATCTCGGTAAGGTGGAGTGGGTTCCTGGTAACACAGTGTACATTCTATTCTGTTGTCGTTAGACTGACCAGACTGTCACACTGAAGCCACCTGCCCCGTGTCACCAAGAACTGATGCCTAAATTTAATTTTGACAAAAGAAAGATGTAAAGATTATGGTAACGATTGCCAACAATCTGAGTCATACAACGTCTAGCACGGCCATACAGTGTGTTAGTGACTAGCCCTGCAAAGAAGTGCAGCTGATTAAATGTTGGCCCGAGTTCATCTCGGTATTAACCACATTTGATTAAAAGTCTAGAGGGCCATGACTGGAAAAGTGCGTTTCTGTTATTAATCAGAGGCGTGCAGTTATTTCACAAAGAAAAGAGGAAAATTACCGCCAAAGCCTGGAGCTCTCTGGTCTCCTCCTCGGCAGCCGAGGCGTGGTAGGACAGCACCTGTGGAGGCACCAAGGAGGGATGTGAGTGGGCAGCGATACCACCAGCACCCCCGACTGCACCCCCTCTTGCACAGAGAAGTCCACCCCTCAGAATGTCACGTCGTTTGCTTTTTCCCTTCAACAGAGACCAAACCCTATAACTACATTCTATAGCTTGTATAACAATTCTTTATTCTTTTTTAAAAATTTTTTAAAATATATTTTACATCATTGTTCATTTTTGTGCAATGTATGCTTTATCATTTCATTGACAGTCCCACCCATGGCCCACCACCAACTCACCCCCACACCGACACCTCAGCCCCTGTGTTCTTCCCACCCCTGGTTTGATCCTACTCCCTTCTCCTGCTCTGCAGAATGTCTGTCATGTATAGCTGCCTGATAATTCTGGTTTTTGCTTTATTATAATTACTTTCTCCCCTGGTCCCTTATTTGGGTTCCTCCCCTACATTCCTATGAGAAGTCTGGCTTCCTACTTTCTCAACACAACTTGAGAATTCATTCCCTAGGTAAGTGATAAATCGATAAGCTTTGGCATTTTATATTTTAGATATTCTTTCCAAACAAGGTAATGGTTGAGTAAAATGTCCATTATATTCTTCTTTGGAGATGACATTAGTCCACAACACTAGTTTTCAGGTGCACAGTTTATAAAGATTTTTAAAGTTCATTTTTGACAGACAACAAACTGACAAAGCCTACATTTTATACAATAAAAATCATTTAGACTTGTTTGAAAAGTGATGGTTTACCCTGGTATGTAAACTCAAAGTCTCATATTTTATAGAATGCCATAGCAAAACTGTGTTCTACGTTCACCTTGAAGAGTACACTGTCCCTTCTCTGTCACTGGCCAATCTTGACAGTCAATGTCTATCTATCTTGCTCTTTAGGTCTAGGTATTTGTCAGGGCTTGAAAGCAGTTACTGTACCCCATACGCTGACTACCACCTGGCTCAACAAAGCAAGAATACGCCAAGGTTTACACCCATTTTACACCAGACTACCACCAGGCCCATGACTAGGTGAGACACATCTGTATTTTTTTAAGTCGATTTCCCTAAACTGGGTCTATGAGGTGAGCACGTTTCATGTTACACGAAGTTAACATTTTCAAGGCTGTGACCGATAACCCTCTGGAGTGGGCCTGGCCCATCTGGGTAAGTCAGTGCCAGCTGGGGGTCTGGGGGGCTGGGAGGCTGCCTACCTGAGGCCAGAGCCCAAGCCAGGTGACTACATTTGGGATCGCTGGGGGAGTTCTGTATCAATACAGGTTCCCAGCCTCTACCCAGGACTTACAGAAGCAGGATTTTCAAAAATCTCTAATTTGGTCATTTGGGAGAATCTGAAGTATGTAGTCCAAACTCTTATTGCTCTTCATAGATTTTTTTTTTTTTCATTTTTCTCACCTCAAATTCATAGGGTTTCTTTTTTTGGTTTCTAACTGCTCACATAGGGGAGCTGGGAGCTCAGGCACAGGGGAAGGTGTGAATGACAAAGACGGTGCTCTGCCTTCCAAGCTCAGGGCTGGCTTCTAGTTTGGGCTCACGACTTGTAGAACATTTCGAAGTACTCTGGGTCTTAGTTGAGAAAGGAAGCATCTGAGAGCCACAAGGTTCTCGTGATGTATGAGGACGTGGATGGCCTGACAGGGCCTTTGGCTGCAAACTAGGGCAAGCTCAGGGAACCCACCTCTAAGGTGACCATCTGCTTAGCCATGGCTTTCTCCACGGCTTCATACATCTGCGTGTTCTGGATCCCCAAGCCACAGAAGATGACGAACGCTTCCAGAAACTGCTCGTCGTTTCGGTTGAAAGGCTTAACCTTGCCAGTATTCTCCTCCATCTTATTCACAAGTTGGCAAACCCCTGTAAGGAGCCAAGATACTTAAGTGTTATCATCATCAGTTTTTACCAATTTGAACACACCCCCAAAGACTGTCTTAAACTTTTCTCTTAGCCATGCTTGGCATCTCCAAATAATCAAATAAATCCCTATAAATATAAGTAGAAAAGCAAACTGTCAGTTTACATGAGAAACCATTTCACATACTCCTAAATATACGTATGAAGGCCTGTGTTAAAAAAACCCTAGAGTAATATTTTCTTCCAGACTTGGCCTCAACTTTTAGATCAGCTAATTCCCCAAAGACAATCTGTCCTTTGGAGACTAAATGGATTTTTGTACACTTGCCAAGTGAACAATTTTGATGTACACCAGAATTTTGGGTCACACAGACTGCATTATTGAAAAACCAGAAATTTAAAAAAAAAAAAAAAAAAACTATTACATGTAGAATGAAATGTAGAAAAGAGACAATTTGCAATTTACATCGTGTTCACGATATGCCTCTGCATCCGGGAAGTCCCATCTGCACACAACTTTTGATGATGTAAATAAAACAACTCTCAACTTAGAAACAAAGGCAGAGATCATCTTTGAAGAAAATCATTATCTCTTAAGTCCTGGCCTCTAAGAAAATCAAACACCAGCCCTCCCTGGTGGTGCAGTGGGTTGGAGGGCAGCACTGCAAAGCTGGCATGGACACCTCAGGGCAAGTTCAGTCCCCGGCCAGGGAGCTGACCCACAGGGCGCGGCAGACCTCTCCTGACCCGCCCGCTGCTCCCCTCAGCTGTGCACTTCGTCAGTCTGCCTGTTCTGCTCCCCACTCTGTGTCTGATGAATCCTCTCACGCCCCTGCACCTACACCTCTGGCCTGTACCCCAGTTCTACATGTATAAAAAAGTTAAACTATTCAAAAAAAGAAAAACATGTAACCTACCCCCTCCAACCCCCCGCCAAAAAAAAAAAAAAAAAAATGAGGACATGAATGCTAGGGCCAATCCTCACTGAGCTGGCTGTTGTATGGATTCTGAGTCACTCTTTGAAGCCAGGTCTAGGTAAAACCCTAGTCTCATGCGTCTCAAAGTAGATTAACAGACCTCGCCAGCTGCCTGCTGTGGGCAGGCACCATGCACAGTCGAAGCAGACGTGAGCTCTAGTCTGCACAGTGTGAGGCTGTGTCCCTACTTTACAGCAGGGGAGACCAAGGCAGTCTCCACAAGAGAAACGCCTAGCAGACGGCCAGTCAGAACCAAACACCGCTGCAGTGAGGCCCTGGCCTCCATCCCAGCAGCAAGCCCTCCCCAGCGCTCCTGGCTTTGCCTCAGCACGCCTCTGCTTATCCTTTCTGCCACCTGCCCTGCTCCCCGGGGCCCCTTTCCATGTTTCCCCAGGGAACCCCAAGTCCCTAACACCTCCATGAGGAGCTCCAGAGGCCTCCCCCGCCTCCAGGCTGAGGCCGGCGCTTCTCTTTCCCAGGCCCTTGACACTATCACTCGGCTGTCCTGGTCTATGTCACTTCTGTCTTTCTAGACCGTGACTTCTTGGGCTTGGAGATTCTATGCTTCTCAGTTCCACCTCCTCAGCTGTGCGCTGCTGGCATGTGGCAGGAACCCCCAAAGGTTCACTGCAGCAGCGAAGCACGTAGGTCCACGGCTCTGACCCCAACCGCTGCCTCAGGTAGCCTCTAGTTTTTATGAACTTGCTTTACCCACAATGCAAAAGGTGCCCAGGGACCCACAGTGATGTCTGGCTGCACCTGCATGTCTGTCCCCACTGGCGTGCATGACGTTCCAATACTGAAGTTACCTACAGCCTCGTTTTTGCCCCCTCTTGTCTATAGGCCTCTTTTTTACTTTAGACAACAAACATATCCCCACCCATCTGTGTCAGCAGTGCAGGAATTAGGTCTCTAACATATCCGTGAGTAAAAACCACTTCAGACAGGACACGGTGAATGGGAACACTATTTAAGTGACGTCTCTGACATTCGTTATCTGAAAAGAGCGTGCGTCATGGATGGTAAAAACACAAGGGTTATGCCTTCCACCCTTTGTGACTCCCCAAGTTATATAACTCCCAAGTGGCATTTTCTTACAAGGCTCACGTCCTCCTCACATCACAGTGTAACCACCTTTCCATCTGTACGGAAGTTTTCTCCTACTCGATGGCTATTTTTCATACACAAGATTTTTCTTCTTACCACCTCATGAGGATGATGGCAGGCACAGAATGGGAAGAGGCGCCCAAAGGGATTGGGACACGGCTACCAGGCAGAAAACAGCCTACACACAGAGACCGTCCTGGGCGGCAGGTCCGCTCCACTGACTATACAGTAAGGGCGTTTCACACAGAAGCCCTGGGTGGAAAGGTATGGACGTGGAATGTTAAATGCACAAATATTGAGACTCACGAGCAACCAGCACAGCTCACAGCAGAAGAACTCGAGTGTCTGCTGCGATCCAGCACGCACACAGCCACAGAGACAGCAGGTTCAGATCAGGGCAAGTGAAGGGGCAGAGACAGACCAGCCACTTGGGCACGTGGCTCAGTTCTCCTTTAAACGCAGCATGGGCTGCCACATTTAGGTAACATTCATGGTAATACTCTGGTCTCTACCTTCCGGAAAACTAAATTCTATCAAACCAAATACCCGAGTTAAAAAACAAGGTGTTTAGGCCCTCCCTGGTGGCGCAGCGGGTTAAAGCACAGCACTGAGAATCTAAAGCCGCTTCCTCATGAGTTCGATTCCCGCCTGCCCCGGAGGCGACCACATGGCGTGGCGGACCTCTCCTGACCTGCCCGCTGCT